TTAGGTCATCTGGTAAGTTAATTCTTCTCTGCCGTACCAATTTTTAAAAAAGAGCAAGAACGGGTTTTTTCCACACTCACAATCAGCTGTAGCAAGTAGCTAGGGAAATTATCGAGGCGGAGAGAGGGAAAGAGAGAGAAGAAAAAAAAAACCTGATAAGCTAACTACAATATTACAGCTCGAGCTAAAATGAAATATAATTTTTTTCTTGTCTCATAAGATGAATTTGATGGAGCGGAAATGGGGCGATCTTCCTCTGAGCTGTCCAACTTAAATGAAGATTGGGATTCAGGTATGAAAATGGAGATCTGATTTTTATAAGAAAACAGACAGTCTACGAAAAACCAAAATAGAAATTCTAACCAAGTGTAGACCCCTGGCTGCCTGTATCCAATATGCTCTTTAAACTCCGAAGGTGAAGCATTTTTTTACAATCCCACCTCAAAGATTTCACGCAACGTTTAGGTTTGCCTTCATCATTAGTGCATAAGTACCATAAGTACCACAATCGACTGTCTTTAAGAGTAGACGGACACCTTTAAAAGCGGCACTATGTGTCCGTCTTTTAGAGAGTCAACTAAAATGAGTAAAGAAAGGCAGTGACCAACTCTAGGTGTCCGTTTTAGCGAGGTGTCCTTTAAAAGAGAGTTGTACTATATAACCATAGCGACTTTTCCAATTATTTCAAATAACATCGCTGTCGTCAAGTCTGTACAGTGTAGGGCTTCACTAGCCTGGTATATGAATTTTTTCCCTAAGGTCGGAATTGGGTACCGCAAAGCTGTACTCCGATTAATTACTCCATTGCTTTAAATCCTTTAATTTCAGGTGATGACGATGATGATGAGGAAGACTCGGCCAAAAAGGAAGAGCGAGAGCGAAAGCGGCAGGAGGAAGACGAGAGTTTGTTCCACAGACTTGAAGAGTCAAGACTAATGCTGGAGCAGGAATTAGGATTCGACAAATTTTTGCGAGTATACAAATATCTTCAGGTATAACGGTAACATTCAGCCGATTCTAAAGAACAGGGCTTCTGATATTTCGCCCGGTCGCGGAGCCGCGAAATTCAGTTAAATCCGCGAAATCCCGCGAAATTCACAAAAACACGCAAAATACCGCGAAATTCGGTAGAAATCTTATCAAATACACGTCTGTATAGCAATTTTGAAACTTGTCTTTCCCTGCTAGCAGCAAATTTATGTCAAACCTTCGTCACTGAAACATGCAAACAACGTTCCGAAACTACCAGGCGTAGATTATGTTGCGAAAAACTGGGCACTAACCATGATGTTAAAGGCTTTGCCATTGGTTCATTTCTGGAGCGTATTGTTGAAAGAGCAAATAATGACCTCTGTTAGAAAAACATTGAAAACCCTGGTCTGATCAGCGCTATACCGATCGATTTCTAGCAAAATTTGCCCTGAAAATAACCACAAAATCCGCCGGTTTTTTTACCGATTGCTTTCCGGCCAAGTTTGCCTCGAAAATTTCCGCGATTTCGGCCGATTTTTCCGCGATTTAGTCCCTAAATATCCCGCGAAATTTGACTTTTTTTTCCCGCGAACTATCAGAAGCCCTGAAAGAACGACAGGTCGCTAAAGTTCAAATTAGTACCTCTCCAAAGCATTGCTGGGCGTGTATCATGGTAGTGCCGAGTTCAATCAAACCCAATCATAAAACAGACTGATTTAGCGACAGAACGGGAACGTCAATTGACGACGGCGCGGCCAAATCAAACAACTGCGTTGACCAATGGAGAGCGACAAACTGCTGGCACTGGATGTCGCGTTTAGTCCTTTCCGCGCGCTTTCCCGTCGTCAACTGACCTTCCCGTCCTGTTGCTAGATCAAAACGGCGAACTGGTGTGCGTCGTGCCTGGTGCGTTGAAAGTCAGCATGCACTATTTTTTGCTATAGTTTACTCAGCAGTGTTATTGACCTTGAGTAAATAGAATAAATTCACCCATCCATCTTCTTATTTATTTTGTCCTGTCTGCCGTTACTTTGTTGTTGTATACGCAACTTCTCTTTTAATGCAGGCTCATGTTCTGTTTGTTTTCAGTCTGTTCAAGAAAATGATGATGACAGTGCAGAAATTTCTAATGCTGCCGAAATCAGTGAACTGCTGGGAGATAAAGAGCACCTGTACCCCAAAATACTCTACCTTGTTATCGCGGATTCCGCTTACTCAGAAGGTCTGTGAATGCCTCCGCCTGACCCCTGTAAATACGGTAGTTTGTCCACGTAGGATTTCCTCCTCGAGAAGTTGCATTTATTAAAACCTCACGGTACCGTACAGCGTTTGAAGCGTCTCAAGGAAGTGAAACTAGTGGATAAAAATACCGCTCAAGCGACACGTAAATAGAAGTCCGGCACATAATAATGTCTCTCTGATGTCCTTATTTGCCGGTTTCTGCAGTATATACCTACGCCAAAATTATCGAACCTTGGTGTGGTTACAAACGCTCTCTCTGTCATAAGGATATTAGGACCATTTATACGAGAAAAAATAGAACGCGTACGTATAAAGCGCAGTGTATACAGGACAGTTTGCGTCTTATTTTCCCTTAGGATATGTTCACACTAAACGGTATAGTATGAACTCCTAGCTATCCGTTATATTTGACTTTCTACTTCAGAGATCGGCGCGGCGCAGCTTTGCTTCGTTTCTTATGTGTGAACAGAAGCCCTATCTGGTATAGTTTTCGTGCCGGGACAAAAGCTATCCGTAATAGACCTTTTTACTGATACGGCGGCCATATTGAATTAATGATGCTCATGGGGCATGAGCACATTTCGTTTGTATTTTCGAGCGCTTTTCGGGACATTTTTTCGTAAAGTTTTCTTAGAATAAGATTGTAATGGGAAAAGAGATCCTTGTGCCGTGTTTGGATGTAATAATCATCGCCTTTTTCCCGAGAAATATACAGTGAAGGTCCATATTTCTAATACTAAACTAGAAAAAGGCGATCATTATTACATCCAAACACGGCACAAGGATCTTTTTTTCCCATTACAATCTTATTGTAAGAAAACTTTAAGAAAAAGTGTCCCGTAAAGCGCCCGAAAATACAAAGGAAATGTGCTCATGGCCCCTGGGCATCCCATAATACTCCTCAAATCGTATTAATTCAATATGGCCGCCGTATCGGTAAAAAGGTCTATTGTGTGAACATAGCCTAAATGTCCCTATTGTGATCTGCTTTATTTTCATTCCGTGACTAATATTGATGTTTTTGCTCTTTTTCTGACAGACAATCAGTGACACCAAAATTGTCTTCTACATTAAATGGACTGCATGTGTAAGACGTCAAAAGACATCTTTTCTGCAGAAGCAGACGTGTTTGCCTGCGGAGGGCGAAGAAACTTTTCAGCCAAAAAAGTGAAACCACGTTTGATGATAGCTTTACTCAGCCAAGTACGCTGGTCAAGTACGCTTAGTGCTGCGTAAAAAATCGTCATCTTTTTTTTTTTAATTTTTATTTTTGTTACTTTGGGTACTCCGGTCTAAAATACCACCGTAATTTGTTTGTGCATATGTCCATTCGTTTGTGACTGTAGAGCGGAAGCGACAGCTCTCGAAAAATTAGAGAGCAACAAACCGCTAAGTTATTGTAAAAAAAATATATACGATAAGTGCTATGTTTATTTGCCATTTTTAATACTTGTAAGGGTTCGGCTCTAACTCCGTCGCGGTTATACATGTAGTTTGTGGGAAAGTATAGGTTTTAGGTGTACTCTGCCGTGTTTCATTAGAAGAACAAAGTCCAAAAAAATCTGCCAAGTTCAATTGTTAATATTCTTAATGGAGTATCGCTTATTTTTTTTCTTTATTACAGCAGACTTATATGAAATAAACTGTACTGACCTTTTTGTTTAGAATCTGAACTTAATATGTAAACGCAAATTTCCGTTTAAAGTACAATAAAATTTCTGTGTGTTTGTAGAAAGAATGCATATTTCCCTTTTGGTCTATTATTCAAGTTGAAAACACACAATTATTATAATTAAACACGCTAACCAGTCAAAACAAGTGTGAAAACAAGCAACGGGTCGCAGGCGCGGGAACGGCAAGCCGTGACTGGCCCACCACTTGCTCCTGGTCATCTATCAATACTGTATACGGTTTATACCGCTATTTCTGATTGGTTGGCGTCAAGAAACATACAAGTAACATCCCAGCGATAGCTTTAGCTCTTGATTACTTAATATGTGTAATATTTTAGAGAATGAAACACTTCGGGCTGTTTTTGCCCTGGTACATGCTTCTCTTTGTTCTTGAATTGTGTCTTTTTTTTTTTTTTGCAAGGCCTTCGTTTTTGTTTTGGGATTTGCTTTGGTAAAATTTTCCCGCCTAAAGGCAGATGTTACTATGTGACATCTTTCCCGCTTTTTTTGGAAACTCCAGGGAAAATGGATACAAGCTTTGGGTGCAGTGATTTCTGGCATCTTTTGGTTGGACAAGCGTTAGTTATGATTGGTTGATGGTGTTCAAAGCAACCATTACTCATTCACAAGTAATGCTTGTCTACCCAAACAATCCCAGAAATCTTTGCGCCGAAAGCATGTAACCATTCCCTTTATGGTTGCGGAATGGGGAATTGGGCTCGCGGCAGTTAAGCATTTTCAACATAAAAAAGGTTTTGGTGAAGATGAAAAACAAATTAAACTTTTCTTTTTGGTCGTTGTCATATTGTTAGCACTCGTATGCTGAGCTCTACCTTTCGCCGTAAATGTGGTGCTTACTCAGTGTAAACTCTCTTACAATCGCTGTTGAAATTTGGCCTGCAGAGTTAAAGGCGGGCCGCCTCGCGCTTGCCGTTAATGGCGTGAGAAACAAAATAATGTCTGTTCTGCAGACTACGGAAATTTGGTCCCCTTAATACAAGTTCTTTTTTCCTCTGGCTTTTAAACAAACACTGAAATGGGAATTTCTCCGGTGTTACTATAACTAGTTCCTTTGCTACTAATTAAAGGTAATTTCCTTTCTTTAAATGGATGCACCCTATATTTGTTTATCCAGTAAATTCTCACTGCTGTGGGCACTGGTTTTTAGCCTCGCCTTTTTTCACATTTATAACCACTGGCGCGTTTCTTTGTCCTTTGACGGTGACTGTAGAAATGCTGCCATTTCCTGAAGTACAGTCCTGAAAATCAGAGACAAAAACTCAGGTAAAATGATAGAGTCAAGCTCCCCACCCCCGCTCCCCTCCGAGCGAGACGATGGTGAAAGAGGCCATTTACTTCGTCCATATTAGCTCGGCTGTTCAAGTATACACCGTATACTAGCTAACCAGTATCGAACAATGTAAAGAACATTCCCTGAAAAATTAAACACAACATTCGCCTAGAAAATACAAGTACAAAGGGGCTGGAATTGACTCAGCCCGCCAATACAGCGGCCACTGGTCGCTCCATGTATGCCACCGAGGGATGTCCTTTATTAATAGAGGCGGACATTGGGCATTACTGACTCCATTTGATGGAAACGTGAATAGTTACCTTAGACTTGCTACAAGTCGACCTCACGAGATTCTAAGCAAGCGGAGCGACCTTATAAGGCCGCGCTGGGACTAAGCGATAGAAGGATCTTTTTGATAGTCTATAATTACCTTAGGATGACAATTTTCTTTCTTCAGTTCCATGTCTACATTTTCCNGAAATTTGGTCCCCTTAATACAAGTTCTTTTTTCCTCTGGCTTTTAAACAAACACTGAAATGGGAATTTCTCCGGTGTTACTATAACTAGTTCCTTTGCTACTAATTAAAGGTAATTTCCTTTCTTTAAATGGATGCACCCTATATTTGTTTATCCAGTAAATTCTCACTGCTGTGGGCACTGGTTTTTAGCCTCGCCTTTTTTCACATTTATAACCACTGGCGCGTTTCTTTGTCCTTTGACGGTGACTGTAGAAATGCTGCCATTTCCTGAAGTACAGTCCTGAAAATCAGAGACAAAAACTCAGGTAAAATGATAGAGTCAAGCTCCCCACCCCCGCTCCCCTCCGAGCGAGACGATGGTGAAAGAGGCCATTTACTTCGTCCATATTAGCTCGGCTGTTCAAGTATACACCGTATACTAGCTAACCAGTATCGAACAATGTAAAGAACATTCCCTGAAAAATTAAACACAACATTCGCCTAGAAAATACAAGTACAAAGGGGCTGGAATTGACTCAGCCCGCCAATACAGCGGCCACTGGTCGCTCCATGTATGCCACCGAGGGATGTCCTTTATTAATAGAGGCGGACATTGGGCATTACTGACTCCATTTGATGGAAACGTGAATAGTTACCTTAGACTTGCTACAAGTCGACCTCACGAGATTCTAAGCAAGCGGAGCGACCTTATAAGGCCGCGCTGGGACTAAGCGATAGAAGGATCTTTTTGATAGTCTATAATTACCTTAGGATGACAATTTTCTTTCTTCAGTTCCATGTCTACATTTTCCACCACACTTTGAGTCTGTGTTAAATCGCTTGTATCCATCTTTGTAGAACAGAGGCTGTCGGCGGCTTCAGGGAAGTGAACCCTTGTCTTATTTTCACACTTTTCTTCAATCCTGACGCCTTTTTCATCGCTGTTATTTGATAATGCCAAAATTTTCGATGAGTTTAAATTCCAAGCAATTGATCCAGCTTGAACTGGAGTTAAAAGTTTGCTGTTTTGCTCTCTTATAGCCGGTTTTTCTAAATCTAGTACATGCATGTTTTGAAGAGTTGATGGGACATTGGGAAACTTCACACTTGTAGACTCGTCTAATTTGGGTTTGACACCCAGCGGTTCCTGTTTTATCGGCCGAGCTTTCGGTTCCAAGTTGTCCTGCCGTTGTTTCTTCGGTGCTGTTTGCTCAAGACTTGTGCTGGCGTCAGTGAACCCGGCGGCCGATCTTGCCTTCCCCACAGATCTATTGATGTTTTGTGGTTCAGACGAATTCTGAGCTATGCCCTGAGAATCTAACGTAGAATGAGATTTTAGTTAACTCTTTTGTAAACGACTACAACGAAAATCGGTATAAGTGGTGACTGGTCGCTTACGGGAGGGGGGAACCCCCACGGGATGACGGGCTACCCTCCGGATGAGCAAGAATGGCCGCTTTCGAATCTGACAACGGTAAAGTCAGTGAGAACTTTTTTTTGCGACAATTAATTTTAGGTAAGCAGTGCTAAAATATCGACAACTTACGATTTTGTAGTTTTATTCTTAAATCGTCGATTTTAAGCCTTAGCTTGATATTTTCGCTGTTTAGTCTTTCCACTTTGGATTCAGAAGCGTGAAGTTGATGCTCTGTGTGACGAAGCCTGTCTGTCTCCGCCAAATGCAGTAAAGTTTTGTTCTGCAGTTCCTTGTTTAATCCTGCCATAGTCTTCCTACAAAACAAAATATAACTTTTTCCGGCCAGACACAAAAAAAAAACGTTTGAGTAGGGAGTAGTGTAGTGGTAGCGCTCAGCGTGAACAACTGAGTAGCTTTCTTTTCTCTCTCTCTCTCTCTCTCTCTTACCGCAGGGAGACCATCCTCGCAAACACAGAGCGGTAGAAAGAGGCGGAAACGTTTCTCCCGAAACCACCAACTGCCAGGCCTGGGTCTCCGAGAATGCAGGAAACAAAGACGTATAAACCCTACCCAAGAGCTAGTTACACTCAAGAGAAACCTGTGGAATAGCCACCACTTCCGTCAATAGTGAAAACAACTGATCTCCTTGTCTAAGTGTGAGTCAAGGTCTTTGAGCTCGGAGGGCTTAACAGTTTTTTTTATCCTCTAAACACTAGGCTCCGGTATAAATTTTTTTGTTGTTCATTAAGACTTACTTCGAATCTTCCAATTGCAACTGAAGGAAGTTTACGTAGTCTTTCTTATCACCAAACTCGGAAAAAGCATCGTGAAATTCCATCAAACGGTCGCTCATGCTGCTTCCCGCCTGAAATAAGAAACAGATTTGCTGGTAAAAAGATGCAATTCTCAAGAGCAGATTACGGCAATGGTCATCTCACCCAAAGGTCGAGAATTCGCTAGATTGCTATACAAAGCCACTACGTTGTATGGATGATGTTGGAATTTTTTCGTGCCGTTATTACGCAACCGTTGTCTGGGAGGGAGCCGGTTTCGAGGCGACCTCAGTGGAGTCCCACATTTTCCAAGCTGTCCATTGGTTAACACTCAGATGGAGCTCCATGACATTTAAACTACCCTAGACCGATAGACCCAGTATTTAAATCAGTTCCGTCAAGGCAATGTACATGTACGCCAACAACGAGGAAATCCGTGCTACAGATTTTTTTTCCTTTCCCCCGAATGGTTTAAAACTATTACTGTATGCCTGGGCACAGAGGACGGGCTTTAATACAGCTGAAAAACTGAAAGCAAACGTTGAATGTGGCGTACACTACCTTTTGTTTTTCCAAACTTGATATTTTAGCGTTCAGTATTTTTACTTCACCCTCCTTCTGAACCAACGCCTGCGTCAACCTTTGAATCTGAGAAGCATCTGCATGACAGCCTTTAACTTGAAGAAGAGTGGCCACTTGATTCTTCAAACAAAAAGAAAGTATAGGAACGTATTAAATTATTGATCGCTTTATTGCCCTCATAAAATGTAATTGTGCCGACAATGACAACAACAAAAAATAAACAAAATGCTGCACGTCGAATAAATATATGTAATTTTTCGATAGTTTCCGAACAGAGGGTTCGTATGGGAGTCCAAATCCGCTTCGCTTGCCAAATATCGCCTGTTTTGCAGGCTAATATATTCAGTGCGGTGCTGATCAATTTAGGACATTACCTTCAGCCTCTGCAAATGTTGTTTTGTCATATTGTGTATCTTGACCATCCCTTCGTGTCTGGCTTGTAAACTGCAATACTTCTTCTCAAGTTCAAGCCGTCTGTCCTCCACCTACAGAAGTTTAAAAGTGTTATGTTTATACAGAGTACAAAAATAATGATTATTCGGACTTGCGAGCAAGAAATGAAATATACTCAGTCTGTACCTCTCCAAACAACGAGTTTCCTTGTTTCCCGAAGTTTCTCCTAGCGTTGTCAGCTTTTAGGTTTTCTAATTCAGCTTTAAGTTCACCTGCTTCAAGGCGGGCGTCCTGTTGTAAGATGGTTGTCAAAAGACACATCACTTATACATGAAAAGAAATTTAAGACATAAGAAGGGCTTGGTTTTGGTTTTAGGTTAAAGATACATGCGCAGGTTGTTAAGGGGGGGGGGGGAGAGACAAAGGGCTTAGGAAGGGGCAAAGCCGTAACCCACTGTCGACACTAAAAATACGGACATACCATATAATAGTTTTTTATATAGTCTGAGAGGACGATTAAGGCTAGAAGTGCTGCCAAACGTTTTGACGTCATTTGCTGACAAGACCCATGCAAGGTGGTTTTAGGGTTCAGCCCACCCCACCCCTTGTAAGTAGGTATTATGTCGGAGGTATGCTTTCTTGTCAAGCTTTCTTGGGATTGGTTACCTTTCTGCCAAAAAAACTTCAGTTGGGTGTAGCCTGTGACTATACCTCCACTTCTCATTGCTCTTTGTTGTTGGGATAATAGAGAGCAATAAGAGACAGCTGTATTCACAGGTTGGTGCCTCTTAACCAGCTCACTGCATAAAATTGTTTCAGGCATTCAGATTATAGTGAAGAGTGGTGAGAAATGATGAGTGGATACTTCTCATTGCACTGTCCCCACTATTCTTATCCCAGGAACAGTCAAACTCGAAAATTTACCATGATTTCTTTCAAGCCAACATAAATTTTTAGTAAATAATCTTTCATCCCGGAGAACAGGCTACAATGCTACACATGTACATTGTATGGAAGAAGGTAATTAGCCTGTTCCAAGCGTTGGGATAGTGGAGTGAGCGCGTTTTTTTCTGCTCACGTCTATTTGAACTGTCACGATCTGAACACCTGGAACAGACTACAAGGTAATCACCGCAATTTTGGGTTGAAAATGAATATCAAAAAAGATTATTATCAATGTAGATTTTTGGCTTAATGGTCAAGGCTTTGCCCTATTAAGAAGAATAACAGACTGAGGGAGTCCATTTCTCTGAACCAGCCTGGACAGCCTGTGAACAGACGCCCCCTCCCTTCAGAATGTACTCACTCCAGGCTACTCCAGAGGCTACTCTGAACCTGTGAAATCCTAGCCTCACTACTCCACTATCCCAACGCGTGACGAACCCCTAAGAACGTCTGCGTGGGAGGCTAGTGAAATCCAGGGTGCCCAGGATATGGTTTTTATGAAAAACTAAGAGATTTTCTACTCTCCCGGGAGCAAAAGTAAAAGGCCAACGGACACTGCTAATGCACAGCCCTGGGAGCACAGCCGTGATAGTAAAGCTTTATCAAGTGAATAGTGTTATTCATTTTTTTTATTTTTTAGCAAAAACAGACTACTCCCTAGTTCTACCTCATGACTTGAATTCTAAGCCCTCTGGAATGGACTCTTGGTTTATTAATATCACAAAGAACTGAACTTTCAGGATTTTGATATTGCTCTTAAATTTTCCGTGAGTTTTGAATATTTCACATATTTCATACTTGCCTGTAAACTGTTTAACCAAGTATGTGCTTGGCGAGTCTTCTCTTGCAGTTCTTCTTCCAGATACCCAACTTTCTCTTTTAACACGTTTCGATCGAATAACATCCTCTGCTGGTTATCTTCATAATCCGCTAATTTCATCATTAAAACTTCTCGTTCTCCCTGTAGTTCAGCAGTAAGATTTACATACTCTTCAATGCTTTCCAACCTGGACCTTCCTTTATGTTGCAGTTCTTCATTGCTTTGATAAGCCTTTCGTAACATTTCTTCTTGTTTCTTGATCTTTTCCTGTAGTTGATTTTCCACCAGCGTGTGCTTGCTGACATCGTTCTGCAAAGATTCTATTTCCTTTCGGAGATCATTGATCTTTTTTTCTGTGAGTAGCTGCTGAGATTTTTGCTTTTCGTCAAATTCCTTGCGTAATTTTTCCTTTAAGTCATCCAGTTCGTGAACATGATTTGAATTGGCCCGAATCTCGGTTTCCAACTTTGATCGCAAAGTATGATTGTCTTGCTTCAGCTCCTGTGGAAAGAAATAAAGGCAGGATAAACGTTTTACCTTTCAACTTAAACGTTAATGGTCAAAAATAGTGGAATTTTTAAGTACGAACGTAGTAATACGCTTACCTCTATTTTTCCCAACGTTGAAATGTAATCATTGTTTACTTCTTCAAGTTTTCTTTCCAATTCGTGATTGTTCTCAAGGAGACTTTTTCCAAGTTCCCCCGCCAATTCCCTGTCCTGTTGCAGACCTTCATTTTCTTCCTTTAACCGAATGATTTCTTCCTTAAGAAACTTGTAAACTTCTTCTTCTTTTTCGAGGTCCATCACGACGTCTGCCTTGCTATTTCAAACTTCCCTCTGATGGTTTTCAGTTGTTGTCACTTCGCTTTGTGATTGGCTGCCTTGTATGAATTGACCAATCAAATTTGACATTTGCTCAGCGCGGGCTCCCAATTCAACCAGCGGCTTGAACAAAATTAAAAATGGCGGAACACATCGAATGTATATAGACTGAAGTGGCGTTCCGTGCGCCTTGTGTTCTCTTACACTTTGCCGTATTTTGAGAGAGAAATCTGAAATGAATTTGAAAAGCTTGAGATGCAATGAAGTTTAGAAATGCTAATTCAGTTTTGCAGACCAAAGAGGGGCGCGACTAGAGAGATTTTTAGGAGATCGCCTTTGCTTAGCTGCCCGATCAAGTTTTGCACAGGGGACAATGGTTTCCTTGACAAGACGAGGAAGGGATACAGTTTACCAAGCAGAGTCTCCCAACATAATACACGATCCCCAAATAGGTAAGATATCGGTGTATTTTTTTTTAATTTAAGTGAACTTAAATTGCCTGTTTACTAGTTTAAATTAATATACTCGCTAAGCCTATTTTTATCCATGTTCATTTATCGGAAGGGAGACTGGGCTAACTGTGATCACTAAACTGTGAAAAAATTAAACCTGATTATAGGAATTGTCGCGAAAAGTTTTTGGAAGCCTAATATAAAACTGGAGCCCAAAATCAAAATCTTATTGGGTGGCACATAAACAATAATTATAACAAACAACAACTCAGCAAACCTACAGTGCATTTCCCACAGGGTATTATTGCATCTGTCAGTTGCAGCTCCTCGCCCCCGCCCCCCTTCCTCTCAGCTAACCCCCAGCATAATCATTTTGTCTTTGATGGCAAATTCGCGGGGGCAGGGACACTTGAGCTGCCAAATGCCTTGTGTCAGGGATGAAAAAAAATGGCAAATATCCCGTCCTCAATCAACACTGCAACACTTTTCATTGATAAGCAAAATGAGTATAGCATTTTTATGTGTGATTTTTAATTTCCGTTACAGCTGTTTCTGATAACACCATGTTTCAGGATAAATTTGGTTTTTCTTTGACGTCAATCAAGCCGTTACCATAGCATCCAATCCTTGCTTGTCAAATAATGGCAGCAATGTTGTTGGGAACGTACCAATTCGTTTTCACCCCCCCCCCTCCCCCCATATCTCTGTTTCTGGGGTTTGTAAGCATCAAGTCTAACAAAGTACTACTTGTTGGAGCAATACAGTATGAGTAGGTTCATTAATTAATTGAAGAAATACAGGCATAAAATCGAGAAAACATACCTTAAAATGCCTAGAGCTTCAAGTTTTTCCCTGTCCATGACAAATGGGCCAATCTTCTAATCTCCTTTGTTTCCAGTAAAATTCTCCATGTTTAGTTATGTTTGGATAGGGATGCATGTACAAGCTAAAAGCTCGGGGGTTGTTGTGGGGTTGGCAAATGCCCGACCGCTAAGCAGCTCAACATTTGATTATGCCCCACCCCCGGGACTGACTAGGTGGGCAAATGCCCCGCAATTGCCCAGGAGGGGGAGGGGGAGGGGAGGAGGTATGGGCACACCTGGAATTGTCTCTTGCATATAGAGAGATACCTCATCTTTTATTCCCATCCCTGCCCTCATCCCCAAAAAACTGTCCCTAACCCCCTCATTTTTTATTAACTAAATAGTAGTTAGCTAGTTATTGGCCAAAGACACTCATCTAAAAACAGGAGGGTGGCATAACCATAAAAATGGCTGAAATTGACAAAATAAAATGCAAAAATAGCTGCTGGATTAAATATTCTTTTGTTTAAATTAAAATACCCTGAATGGTCTCATTCTTCTGTACAAAATTCAAAAGAATATGCAGTATATTTTGACCGCTCTTTACAATTTTAGTTGATTTATTTACAGCTTTCCATTTACTCGTCACTTTCGGAGAACATACAGTCTGTCAACAAACCATGGGATGTCAAGAAAGGTACTCGATACAGAAGTGCAAGTAGAGACCTTTAGATTCTAAGATGAGTACAACTACGAGTACAAGATTTTCTCAATACTATAGAGTGCTCACCTGAGAACCATCGTCATTTTGGCAGGGAAATGTGGTAGCCGTCGTCATTCTACTATGAGTTTTAGCATGAATTTTGTGTGGCAAAAACAAGACATCAAAATAATGTTAGAAGTTTTATCATTTTGCGATCGGGATGACAATGCTAACTTTTCTAGTGAAAAATGGTAATAATAACTTTCCGGGTAGTCTATATTTTGAGAATACTGTACGCGAAGAAACTTCAAGTCAAATCTCGTACTTGTAGTCGTCCTGGTCCTCGAATCTAATGGTCTCTAATATCAGACAGTCATTGGACAGAATCAGGATAAATTTTGTCTTGTCCAATATTGCAATATTTTATTGCACAAGATGACGCAACAGATCAGATACCAAAGACTGATTATCATTTTTGAAACTGAAGATTTGCATAGAGATGATTGTGCAATACTACAGTCAAGTGGTAAGTTACATGTACCTGTCAGTGTATTACTAAGAATAATATGAAAAATTCTTATTACTTATATATTATATTTTCAAACTTATAAAGATTGCCTTGTTCTTGATCACTAACTCATTCATAATTTTTGATTATTAATTGTAGGATACAATTGACATGTCACAGTTCCCAGTTTCAAAAATAAAGAACTTTAGTATCATTGCTCACATTGATCATGGAAAAAGCACCCTTGCTGACAGATTACTTGAAATGACAGGTACTGATGTAATATTGACCTGTATTGTCCAAAAATATATGGTGTGTTCAGTTAATTACATTGATAATGATGCTTTTTTTAAAGAGTTTTCAGATGTTTTTAGACATCAAGGCAGCTCAATGAGAGGCACAAAAACACTGGCTTTGCCTTGGCAGTTTTAAAATTTGTTTTGTTGTTATTGTTTAAATTCACAAATGATTTATGAATGAATAGTTGTTTGTGTAGTTGTTACTGGTATGGCTGGCACCAAATGAAACAACAAAATCTGGGTCACAAGACTTAAAAGGTATATCAACCCCCATAATTGACACTATTAAACTGAAAAGAGGTTTAAGGGATGTTGTTAACAGGGTCGATTTGATCCAGTTACTTTTGTCTGAGACACGTCTAGTGGCTGTAGATAACTAGTATTTCAGAAAATATACTGATACTAGCTTGCTGACAGTGTTATTTATATCATCTTTATTGTAGGCACAATATCAAGAAACAGTGACAACAAACAAGTGCTGGACAAACTGCAAGTAGAGAGAGAAAGAGGAATCACTGTCAAGGCACAGACTGCATCATTGTTCTACAACTATAAAGGAGAAACCTATTTATTAAATCTTATTGATACACCTGTAAGTGTTGATCAAACTCAGTCATCATTGTAATAATTCAGACGTAAATAATTTGCCCCTTGGATGGAGAGACAGAGAAGTGAGGGGAAGGGAGGGAGGGAGGCAGAGGGGTAGGGAGGTGGTGATTTTTGCCTCTGTTTAATGAAAGACATGACTGTTTACAATGACTATGAATATGTATTAATCTGTGGATGGCTTATTAATTGAAGTAACCACAACAATATTCCTGTAAACCTCTTTCATTATTGATAGATTTGATGGTTTGGTATACCCGATTGATCTCTTTTCTATATTATTGGAAATTTCATTAAATTGAGTCAGTTGATTAAAAGTTTATAATAACTGCGTGATAAGTATACATTTTAAATTGTAGGGTCATGTGGACTTTAGTTATGAAGTATCAAGATCACTTGCTGCTTGTCAGGGAGTTATTCTTCTTGTTGACTCATCACAGGTACAGGCTTGGATGTACAGTTGTTATAGATCTAATACAAAGTTGAATATTCTAGAATTTGTATGTGAGAATTTTCAGTTTATTCAAAACCTGAATTAATGTTAACTGTGTGAGTTTATTTTTCAACCCTCAAAAAATAAGCAACAACATTTACATGAACAAGAACATTGACTTCATTTAATTTTAGGGAACTCAAGATTGTAGATATGCTGGAAGCAATTAATGTATAATATATATTTAAAACTATTTACGTGTGTACCATGTAAACGTACCAACCCCTAAAGATCTTTAAATTCAGTTTTATGTTGTTTTAAATTTCTTGTTGTAAGCACGTACAGGTCAATCAGTATCATATAATCAGTATTAGTATTGTTATTATTATTGTTATTATTATAATTATTATTATAATTATGATTATTATTAGTAGTAGTAGTATTATTAGTAGTACATTAAAAAGCACAACTAAAGTTTCCATTACCAGTAAATGTATTTTATCATTTTCTTAGGGTGTTCAGGCACAAACAGTGTCAAACTTTTTCCTGGCATTTGATAAGGATTTGCACATAATTCCAGTACTTAACAAGGTATTGCTTTTGATATATCTTCAAAAGTCTACACCTTAATATGTTAAGTCAGCAAATATTTATTGCCTCTCCCTAATATTATATGAGCAAGGCTGTGCTCTAGCAGAGCCCGGTGGCCCACGGTGGCCCTAACTTTTTTTCTCGTGCGACTAGAAAATCTTTGCTTTTTCATAGAAATCATATATGCTGGCAGGGTGCAAAGAAAATCATTTTTACAGCTTGCCATTCAGGCAAGCTCAAGCTAGCATTTTACTAGCCCAGACATCATTTCAGCTAGCCCCAAAAGCTTTTTGACGCAAAGAATAAAATAATTGACTTCACAGTTCTTCTGTTATTCCAATTCTTCAAAAAACGTCACTTGCCCGTCAGGCAAGTTAAAACCAGAATTCACTAGCCCAATAGCAAAATCCACTAGCCCCGGGCTATCGGACACTACTTTCTTTGCACGCTGTCTGGGCACACTGGATTTCACAAGTTCAGAGCACTGCCAGGCTCACTTCAATTTTTCTTAGAGCACAGCCTTGACAAGAACATGTTTTATTTATCAGGCTGAACTGGTTCTTATATAATTATATGATCCTTTATGGGCCAAATTTCAGCCTGATGTTCTTAATCCATTTTTTCTTATATGCGGGTGTATTTAGTAGGTGGACCAGTTTGTCCAATTTTATTTTAAGGTAAAATTATATTTTATTTTCCTTTTGATTCCAAATTAACCAATACTTCAGAATGTAAAGTGATCCCAGGGGATCGTACACCTGTGGGTAACTAACCTTAGTCAGTGTCGCTGGTTCATATCCTTGCAGATTAAAATTTTCTCCTCAGTTCTAATCATACAGTCATTTGCTGGCTTTTTTTTAGTTTATTTAGAGTTAAATACCTCTTAGCAGAAGTTGGATGTCACTTCCATATTCACATTTGGATATCAATACAATTTCATTTATTCAATAATTTATTTCATTTGATATTTATTTACAGATAGACTTAAAGAGTGCAGATCCTGATAGTGTTTCAAAACAAATGAAAAAATTATTTGATATCACATGGGAATTTATGGCCAATCATTGCAGATCTCAGCAAAAACAGGCACTGGAATAGCAAGCATCCTTGAGACTATTGTTGAAGATCTTCCTTGGTAAGTTAACATGCTTGTTGTACAGTTTAATTAGACTCATGTCAGCAGTCTCTGTACATTTTTCTTAAACGTTGGTGGAGTGGTGTTGGTTACACAAAAGCAGCAAGTTTCAAGCAGCAAATTCACTCAAGATAGGCTGAGGAAAACGTGGGCTGTTTCTAGCCTATTTTTGTTTGTAAAAACAATATAAGTTACATAGTTCTTTTGCATCTTTAAATATTTAACCGAAAAAGTTGTATGTTTTTACAGCTTGTTTCAGTCCACTTCCTCCCTACCTATAACCAAAGACACTTGTTAATTAATACTTTTCATGCCATACTGTTGAGGCAACTTTAAGTGAGATCAGGTCACTGTTTGACTAATAAGCCCCAATATCAAAATACAAATTCTCCAAACTGATCTCCATAGATGGTAAAATCTAACCAGGTTCTTGATTCTCTTAATGCTTTACATTGTGTATTGACTGAATTGGTTGTTGGTTACTTTTTGGACTTAAAAGGTAAAGAACGTTCTTCTGATCCAAACACTTCTGTTAAAGACTGCCCCTTTATTGTTGTTCATCATTTTAATCTTATTGGTTGTCAACTGATATTGTGCGAATTTTTAGCCCTCAGGGTGATTCAACCGCGCCATTCAAAGCTCTTCTTTTTGACTCATGGTATGATCAGTATCGAGGAGTAATCTGTCTTGTTGCAATTCTGGATGGATCACTTAAAAAAGGTGGGGATCAGTTTGATTTGAGACACATTCATCTGTGCAATGCCGATCATCAACCTCAGTCTAATGGCACTTATCTGTAAAACTTGTCTTATCTATCATCATAATAACCATTGCATTTACTAACATTTGTTTTTTGTTTTTGTTTTATTTATTTTATTTGTCACTTTTTTTTGTTTTTATATCCTGAATTGTTTTATTACTAGTAACCTTTACTCTTGTGATGATTTCAGGAGATGACATTATGTCTGCTTACACTCAGCAGAGTTATGAAGTTATGGATGTCGGAATAATGTATCCGGGAGAAGTCTCTACTGGTGCACTGTAAGATTTATAAAACAGCAGATCACATATTTGGATAGAATATTCAAAATATATTCACATTGGTAATATGCCATATTTTGCTCAACAGTTTTTCTGGCCAAGTTGGCTTTGTAGCTTGTGGGATAAGGAATAGTAAAGACGCACAGATTGGTGACACGTTTTTCCATCCGCAAGCTCCCGTGCCTCCCCTGGAGGGGTTTAAACCAACGAGGCCCATGGTAAGATTGGCCTTTTTCTAGGTGTTAAGATAAGGGGCGGGAAAAAATGGAGAGGAGCTGCGTATGCTATATAAATAAATAAAATAATTAATAACAGTAAGTATTCTAAATAATGATTTAGAGGTGGTACATCCACTAAGTGGTTCTTCCTCCAACTGATGATTCCTGGATGAATTGGAATTTCTAAATGGTGGTTTTTGAAGAGAGGGCAAGACCGGAGTACCTGGAGCGGAGTACCCCGGCGGAGCGGAGTACCCGGAGCGGAGAACCCGGAGAAAAACCTTTCGCGGTAAAGGAGAGAACAAACAACAAACGTTACTCATATATTGCTTCCTCGCTGGGATTTTAACATGGGTGATGTTGATGGGAGGTGAGTGCTCTCACCACTGCGTCACCCTTACTCACGTAACGCGTTTCCATCTGAATGCGGCCTGTAAGGGGCGGCTATGGTAAGATGAACAGTCAAATAAAACATACCAGAAAAAGAAATCAACAAACAGATGGAACAGTAGAAAACAATAACATTCAGGTTAGCTGCAAGGACAGACTCAAATGCGAACAGTAATTTAAGAAACTAATAGTGAATGTTACAAATTTTTGTATTGTAGGCGATTTTAATTATTGTTTCAAGACGAGGATTTTCTCATCAGTTCTATTTTTCTCTTTCTGCAGTGCATGACTTCTTCTTAACATTTCCTCCAAACTGTTTAATCTGTTGCCCGGGTACTCATAATAACAGAATGTCGGAGATAGTTTTACAGCTCTGTCAAAGAATTATTTTTGACATCTTTGTGTTTTATTCACTGATAGGTATTTGCTGGAGTTTACCCTGTGGATCAATCAGAACATATGTACTTAAGATCTGCTATCGAGAAGCTCACCCTTAATGATGCTAGTGTTTCTGTGCACCCTGATTGCTGGTATGGAGTTTAATTATTATAGATATCCAGTAACATAGTTAATTACGAATAACGAACATTCCCTTAGTCAGAATTTGTTAAAAGATCAGTAGGATCACAAAATCAAATTCCATTTGGCGATATAGTTATTATACGGAGTATTTAGATTATTATGCAAGACAAGAAGTTACAATGTGCTTCCCCCGGTCCAGAGCGGTGAAGACCCCGGTAGAGTGGTCAATCTTTCATGGGGAGGGGGGAGTGCCACGGGACCACAGTAAATGGTTTCACGCTGTTGCGGTTACCCTGCCAAGAACTGGGAAATCTAGTAAATGGAGTTGCGCACGCGCGCCTCACATGTCTCCCGCCCTGGGTCACACGCGTGGCCATTATCTTCTACCGCGCGTTTCACTCCACTAACTGAAAGAAAGTGGGTACTGCAAAGTCCTCAGCTAAGGTAAGCTCATCGGAACAAAATGTTTTAATTATTTTAGCCTTGCACTAGGACAGGGATGGCGGCTTGGTTTTCTTGGCTTGCTGCATATGGACGTCTTCAAACAAAGACTTGAGCAGGTATGTTCTATTTCTACTTGCAATTTAAACTGTACTGTACTAGAGAACGTATTTCTCCTTGTAAAATGAATCCTTTAGAATCACATGTGTGCTTTCTTTGCTTTCAGGAATACGATGCCTCTGTTATTGTTACATCTCCAAACGTTCCTTACAAAGGTACTTGTAGCTATGAACTGGATAGACTGCGAAAATTTGCTTACTCAGAGCCGCGGGAGTCTTTTTTTAACTTTGCGTTTCTCTTTTGACAGCAATTTTAGCAGGCAACGAGGAAAGAGAAGTAGAGGTTCTAAACCCATTGGAGGTAAATTGCTTTTTAGCTGCTTATTTTGTGCATTTTTTTTTTCTGGTTTCGAAAGTCATTATGGAACTCAAATAGATTTGACGAAATAATAAACTAAAAAAAGGCTGCTGTTGACAAAAATTAGTGGACTAAAGTATAGTACAACTTAAAACTTGCATTTACAGCTCCCTGATCACTCGAAAGTGGAACTGTACAAGGAGCCATATGTACTGGGCACGATAGTGTTCCCTGAGGAATGTATGGGAAAAATGCTTACGCTTTGTGAGGTTAGTATAGATGAACAGGCAGCCACACAAGCTTGCGCGAAATTAGTTCTATATCCTGCAAGAAGGTGTCGACTCAACACGAGGAAAGTGACTTGCACACACGCTCAAAAACTGAAGACTTCGCGAATGAGGAGTCTGTTTATACACTGTATGTATTTACCGCGCATGTGCCGTGTTAGGGTCCACTGAGCTTGGCAACAAGCAACACATGCTGACCGCGACAGTAATGTGGGCCACATCCCTTCCCCGTCCGAAAGTCATCGCCGGCCTCCTCTTCAATCCTTGTACTTAATCTCCTCGGCGGTGTATGTACAAGGAAGGGCACAACCAACGGTACATGCATGAAAAAAAGAGCCATTTCTTGAGCATCTTCGCTTTTTGTAATAATCAAAGTGCGCATCAAGGCCCTAGATTTTTTCCCTTTATTTTTCCTGCTATATACAAGTCATCTTTTTGGTTAAGAACGGCTTCCATGTTGCTTCTCCTCTCTTTCTTGTCACTTGTTTGTTTCAGAGTAGGCGTGGTGAGCAGCAAGAGGTGCTGTATATAGACGAGTCTCGTGTTATGCTGAAATACCTGTTACCGCTGAGCGAAATTATCGTTGACTTTTACGACGAACTCAAATCTCAGTCTTCTGGATATGCAAGGTTTGTTTTCTAAAACTGAGTTCAACTCCAGTGTGCAAAACATGGGATATATGTACACTTGGAGGACTTAAAGCAGTCATGAGAAGAAGCGTTTTGAACATAAAGAGGCAGATGGTTCCACCCTGGGACAGGGCGAGGAAAGATTGATGCTGTGTAACAGCTTTTAAATGCTAGAATATTCCTGAAGTAGTGTTGACTTTGAGACTGGTCTAGTAACACGCCAGCTCCTGAACAGGATCTGACACCTTTCTACGTCCATGCGATCGTGTTAAATCTTTTAAAATCAGGGATTGGTGGCTGACAGCCCTGCGGCGCGCTTCGAGGCTTTACTGCCAACCGTGATCCCACATATTTTTCAGTAGTTGAAATATTCTAAAGTCAGCATCTACACAACCGGAGATTCTCAGGTTCCCATTTTCGTTTCAGCTTTGACTATGAAGATGAAGGCTACCGAGAAACTAATATAGTGAGGGTAGGTTTTGCTGCCAAATGTTAAATGTAAGATTTTAAAAAGGTGATCTGCTGACGGACGAAAGCCGGGTCTTTTCTGAAGTGTTCTACTTATGAAAGGTATCTATAGACTGCTGATCAAGAGCAGCGAAATTCTTTATATCATTATGATTGATTTTATTGTATCTATTTTAACAGATGGATATTCTGATCAACGGAAATGCAGTTGACGCGTTAAGCTGTATAGTACATGTAGACAAAGCCCTGCAGTCAGGACGGACGCTGTGCGCCAAACTTAAAGACGTTATTCCAAGGTATAGCACAGCAACTCATAAGTGTGTTGTTGTGATTTTCCATTTTAATTCCAATCGAGAGCAACGCGGATTTTCTAACCAAGCAGCAACCACAATATTTTAGTTTTTGAGATGGATGCCACCTTTTATTACCCTGCGTACGGCCTGTTCAAGCCATTAAACAAAGTAAAAAAGAGAGGCGAGGTGTGACTTTTTATGCATTGTTAACACGTGCAAACAAGAAGAAGAAATGTATCAGAAGTGGATTTCTTGGGTTACCCTCCCTCAGCCCTATACACTGTGCAGTCGAATTTATAAAGCACCTCCCTGCTATCGGCTGATACAAAGAGTTGAGAAAGAGAGAAACGAACGCTTCGTCCTGCGTTTTCAGTGTTCTTTGTTATTTTGATTTTTTTTCCACTTTAGGCAGCTATTTGAAGTGGTTATCCAAGCTTCTATCAGAGGAAAGATTACAGCAAGAGAAACGTAAGAATTGTACATTTGAATGCGTAGCGTCTTCTTTTAACGTCATTAGCACAACACATTGTGCGTCATGTCGCGCCTCTTTCCAGAGCTGCAAGTTATAGTCGGTCAGCGAACAATGTATGGCCTAGCCTGCAATGTATGCCTTATTCAAGGGCGAGCGAAAGCTCCTTGTTTATGTTCACAACACTGTAGCCGCTATCTTCAATTTTATGACAGAGGAAGATTGGGGGTAGCCTGCGTTGCAGCTGGTATCAGGGATTAAGACTGTCGTCTGCGATGACGCAGGCTAGATTGAGCTGGAGAGAAGAGTGGCGGGTTCAACATGGCGATTACGTGAGGAAAAAAAATTCGCACACCTATAAAAAACGCCTGTGGTGTAGGCTAACAATATCCGTCCAAAATTTTCCCCCGATCGACGAAATCCTACATGCAGTCGGACATGACCGAGCAAATCAAGTACTAAAGACTACAATGACTGTAGCTGTAGATCTGTCAAGTAATTAAAGAAATTTTAAGAAATCTACAGAATGTATGTTCGACAACGTTTCTGGTGAATCCGGCTAAAGTGGTTACCTGGTCGAAAAAGAAAAAAAACTGATTTTAATAACAATCGAATTTTCCTTACTTTCCAGTCAGGCTGAGTAGATCGGTTGTAGCTTTCTTGTTCGCTTTGATCTTTTTCCTCCTTCTATTTTTTAACAATTTGTAATCTTCTCTTTCTAGGATTAAAGCACTCAGAAAAGACGTCACTGCAAAATGCGTAAGTTTTATCTCGTTGACCACTTTGTACCACTTTATACTCTGCAACAGACACTTATTTTTTGACTTGATAATGACGTTTGTTGAACGTCGAAACGTCGTCGTTTTTAACTTTTTTTTAATATGAGAAACATTTTAGCGCAGTATTTTTTATCCAAATGTTTATTGCAATCGCTTCTTATTCAAATTTTGTAGTTATTTATTTATTTTTTTAGTATGTGTTTTTTGAATTTGTGTTTGTGTGTGTGTGTCACTCACACGATTTTCGTTTTTGTTTGTTTGTTAGGTTGGTTTTGTTGCCAGATATTCTGTGGTTGCTTTTTAGAATAGTTGTTAAGTCTTGCCTGACAAGATGTTTCATATAAGGGAAACGCCTATTGTTGTTACATTTTTCTAGATACTTATTCAAACTGTAGTCAACGGTCACCCTCTAATTAAGAGGTAAATTACTAACCGCTCCAACAAGTTAATGATTTTTTGAACTTCTATCGAACTGTCAACCTGTATAAGTGATCGATCAGCTTGTGTGAAGGAAGACCGCTTATACGCAAGTTTGACTGTATTACGCACGCGCCGACTGCACATCTCAATCTTAAATCCTCCAAATCACCACTCAGTGGGACGCGTCACCTGTACTTGAGGGAGGGAGGGAGGTAGGGGAAATTACATTCTCACGATTGGTTATTATTATAATTATTTAAGTTGATTATTTATTATTTGCAGTATGGCGGTGACATAACGAGGAAAATGAAGCTTTTACAAAAGCAGAAAGAAGGAAAGAAGCGAATGAAGAGAATAGGAAGAGTGGATGTTCCTCATGAGGCCTTTTTAGCTGTTCTGAAAAGATGACAACAGTTCATCAAAATAAAGCTCTCTAATACAGAGAAAAGAAGTGATGACGCTACAAAAATCTAAATTCATGTA